TGCTACTGATACAGCTCTGTTTGGATTAAAGCAGAACCTCTGCTTAGGAAAAGCTAAGTCACTTTTACTAATAAAATAACATCAGTTTATAACTTCTGAAAGTCAGTGTTAAAAATCAAAATCAGTGTTTACTTAAAAATGATTTCCCTTAACAGTTCCCTTAACAGTTTTACACAAATGTATTAAGTTTCATATTTGTACTAATTCCGTTACCTGTTTTTCAGCTTGGTGATCCATAATTTTAGGTCTACACAGGTAATACACCCCAGTGATGCTGATAGTATAGGGATTCTACTTTGAAAACCACTGATTTGGCTTCTGTTTGAATACTTTCAATGATTTTATGAGGACAGGGCCTATTTTCATTTAGAAGTTCTCATATGGAACCTTAAATGTGGAACCAGAAACTTTCATTTCTTATAATTAATTTGTCTACCTAAAATAAGACAGAACAATTCTATTCCTTCTTATACATGGCCGTCACTCAAATGTCTGAAGAAAAACCCCCTCTTTATTTTCTCCAAAATAAATATCACCAATATCTTTGCATTCCACTCAAGCCTTTCTACATTCTGTCTGCCTTCCTGTGAACACTACAGTTCATGTCACTCTTGATATGTGGCACTTACAATTTAACACAATAATATAAAAGCTTTAGTCTTAGTATCAGAGTGCATGTGGTTTATTACATCCTCTAGTCAATAATAATTTTATAATTACAGTAGAACTTTCAGCAACTGTATCACAGCACTTTTCAACTGAAAAGTCTCTAGACTGATACCACCCCTTGATGAAGTTTTCAGTGATCCAGAGTAAATAAGAAAAGAATAGTGGAGTAATTTTTCATCAATTTAAAGTCACTCAACTGAAGTTTAACTCTCTTTTATTCTAAGTTTATGTTTTTCCTAAATATGGAGGGAGTATGAGGGGGTCTTAAAATGATAGTGATGGAAGATGGTAGTTATTTTTCCAAACCCTTTCACAATTTCTCTTAACTCTGGTCTAGTGTCCTAGAATATGAAGGTAAAAAGGTTTATCTTATCAGGTAAAAAACTACCATCTAGGTAGCCAAGTGTTTAGAATAATTTATATAATTTTCAACAACCAATTACAACCTCTATTCTTCACTCTTTTGATTAATTATGGCAGAAAGGAAAGTTCCTATTCAGCTCTAGCAAATAAAAGGACTTCAAAATGCTTTAACACTAGTTCCTAAGAGTTTCTATGTTTCCCTTACCTACTTCCCACTTCTGTTTATAATCCTAAACAACATTCAAACCCAGCAACCGGACCATATATGGAAAATTAAGAGAGGGCTGCGATGACAGAAACTCACAACCATCTGTTGCAGTTTAAAATTACTAACCATCTAGGACAGAAAACTATGACCAGTGGACCAAATTCAGCTCACTATCTTTTCTGTGAAAATAATGTGTCAGCGAGTCACAGACACAATGACTTATTTCCACATTGTCTATGGCTATTTGTGTTACAGTGGCAAAAGTGAATAGCTGGGAAGTAACTATATGGCCTGAAAACCCCAAAATATTTATTGTGTGGCCCTTTACACAAAAACATTTACCAACCTTTAATCTAGGATAGGGCTTACCTGGTGGGTGCAGTCGGTAAAGAATCTGCCTGCAACATAGAAGGCTACCTGCAGCACAGGAGACCTGGCTTCAATCCCTGGCTTGGCAAAATCCTCTGGAGAAGGAAATGTGCAACCCACTCCAGTATTCTTGCCTGGAAAATCCCACGGACAGAGAAGCCTGGCCAGCTACGGTCCACAGGGTCGCAAAGAGTTGGACACGACTGAAGTGACTTAGCATAGCACTGTACAGTTGGCCCTAAAAGACTAATTTTACTCTAGGATAATGAACTGTTTGCTACCAAAGAAAAATTTGAGATTTCCAACAATAACCGTTAACTAACTCAAGACACCTACTTTCTCTATTGGAATATCTAAAAGTTGGAATCTGAATGATCCTTTATTCCTACTCTGTTGCCATAAAGATTTGTTGCCCACCCAAGACAGAAAGCACTTACTTACCTGCTCACTGAGCTAAACTCTTAACATACATTTCTCAAGGACTCACTATGAGAATAGTGAAGAATCCATAAATATACTGCTCTGTGCAATCTAAGGTTAAAAACAAGTTGCTGCAAGTAACTCAAAAGTATATTATAAAAAAGAAACTATAGAACTACATAAAATTTCCTTTACATTTTGTATTTCAAATAAAAACACTTTTAAAGGCACTTAAAGTAGGAAAGTTTAAGTTCAATAATTTAGGTAATATTAACTGCATTAAGTAATGCAAATTAATTTCCTTTTATATTGAAAAAAGGATTTTCATGTATGCAGAGTTGAAATCAAAAGATAATACCTCTAATCCAATTCAATCATGTAGTTTTTTAAACGTAAGTGACATCGGAATCTCTAAAGAGCAAAGTCACAACATCAAAGAACTTTGAAACTGTAAAGTGTTTAACAGACTACCTCAGTATTTTACAGTTAAAGTTTCAGTACAATATGAAATATTTATGGTGTGACAAACAATTAGTGGCAGAGGCAGAGCTAGAAACCAACACTTCGCTATCAGCTTGGAACTCTTTCTACTTTGTGACTAAGTAAGAAAGATAAGCTCATTCCAGAAAAAAGTAATATTGAAGTACTTTGGATATTTAAATGTACAGTAAACATATTCAGAGGGCTATAGCCCACTCAACCTAAAAACCCTCTTGTGTTTTTTTTATTAATCAATCAACTATAAAATTACAGAAGGGAAAAAAATAATTCATTTATAAAGCCACTCCTAATAGAAAGATCAAAAGAACAACCAACTATTTGATTAACAAATTGTCAATGATTAGAAAAAATAGTAATAGTGGAGTAGGGGCGGTATGATGAGTACTTATATATTGCTAATTTGGTACAATCTTTCTGAAGAGTAACTTGGTCATATTTTAAAGGGCTTTGAAAGTTCTCACCTAAATAGAACTAGTCTAATATAGAATTCAAATTTCACATACAAAGATGTCCATCCCACTATTTATAACTGTGAAATATTAGAAACAACCTAATATCCAAAGAGAGAACCGGTTCAGTTATGTTATATTCATACAATAGAATAATAGGCAGCCATTTTTAAAAATCACATTTTCAAAGACATGGGGAAGTACTTATGATGGTAGGTTATAAAAAGCAGGGTATACAACTATATGGTCAGCAAAATCTCAATTTTGTTATTATGCACACACACAAACACATATACACACCCATACATATAAATAGCATAGACAAAGATTGAAAGGAAATACAAAAAATATTAACAGTGTTATCTCTGGATAGTGAGATTGCAGATAATTTTTTTCTCTTCTTTATACTTATCAATATTTTCTAAATTTTCTGTAATAATCATGTATTAGTCTTATATCCAGAAAACATTAAAAATTTACTCTGTAGTCAATTTTGAAATTTTTATGGTCTATATAATAAATAAGGAATAAATATTTACAATACTCAAAAGTATATCTGAATGATGGGAAATAAATCAATAACATGTAAGAATATAGTTTCCATACATGTATAGGTGGGTAATTTTGAATCCAAAAGATTACAGTATTTCATCTCAGTTCTTGAGTATAGAAAGTTGGTATTTAGTAAGTAAGAAATGCAAATCTTTAAATAAAATTGGTGCAAGGCATCTAAAAATTGTGCTATTCTGGCATAACACTGAAGATATAAATGCTCTCCAATGTGATATAAATACCCAGTGTTATATTAAAATAGGTATAACCTAGTACATACATCATGGCCAATAATTAGCTAATTGAGTTACATTTTTTTTTTTTTGCCAAAGTGACTAGGATTGATCTAGGCTAAAGAAATACAACACCATACCATTATTTTAGTTGGAAGAGCCGCACCAAAAATCATGACAAAAAACATTGCAGAACTATAAGAAAATCCAGTGGTTTTCTGTTATTATTAATGACTTCTTGCTAAAAATTCAAGTAAGACAGTCAAATTGCTTGGAGCACTAAAAAAGCATAGCAGCAGTGTATGGTCTGCAATGATTTGAGAAACACTAAGAACATTCTTCACTGTTTCCTCATTTGCAGACTACTGCCTATCAAACACTATCTGAGAATTACGGAACTACATCTGTGTTCTTTACCAATCTTGAATTTATATTGTATTATAATATAGTAATGACACAAAGTGATGTCACACATAAAAATGCAAACTATGTAATTTTAAAAACTAACTTTAAAATATGACTCTATTATCTGTGATAAAAAAATCACATAAATATGTAAAATATAAAAATACATCCTAACATACTTTTACATAAGAACTGAAGTTTACCACTTTTAACATAAAAATTCTGAAATGGAACTAATAAAAAACAATTTTTATATGTACCACAGAGCAATAAGTTTAAATCAGACTATTTCGAGTTGTGTAGCCCTTTATTAGCAACTAAAATAGAAGGTATCTGTTGTACAATATGGGTAGTAATTGACTATAACTGGAGAATTTTATATTCTATTACAGATCATTTATAAATGCAACTTCTTTATTAAAAAGCTTCCACCCTTTTTGTTTGTTTGTGTACAATTTGCAAAACTATTCTGAAAGCAGAGTATATGTGCACAAGTCTGCAAAGAGTGCAAATTAGGATATGGTAAATGCTTTACAAGTTACTTTCAAAAAACTGACTGCCACAACTGTGCCTTTACATTGCCTGTTTTTTTTTTGATCAAAATATTTTGATGCCAGCATTCCTTCCACTGCTCTAAACTATAAAGCATTTTTTTTTAATGAGTTGAAATTAAGGAAGGACTACACCTACTAGAAAAGAAGAGAAGAAAGTTCTATTAGTTTGAGGTTTCAGAATCCCCCCAAACCAGGACCAGTGTCTTGGTAAGGGTTAGGCCGGGACCCTGGACAGAGTATGAGTATGTGCAGATGGCATTCCTGAGGATTCAGAGCTTCAGTGAACCGTGAGTGCTCCAGCTGCATAACTCACTGAACTGTCTTGCCAGTTTCTACACTGGCTGGACTGGGCATAATTCAAAAAGGAAAAACTCATATTCATTCCATTCTTCTGCAGCTCTGTGATAGCCTAGGAAAAGAAAAAACCTGGTTATGACAGACATCACATAAAAAAGCGAGCACTCTCTAAACGCACTGGTAGCTTAACTTTGTTCACTTCACACTCTACGTTTCTTGGATTTCACATCACCTCATTTAAATAGGAAAAAGAAAGAATTCTTTATTTCATTCTCTTAAAGAACATATCCTAATCTAGCTTCTGGATAAATACCAGTCATCTTCCACTCTATCTCTCCCTGTATTTAATAAAGCCACTTAAAAAATAAAAATTTTTTAAAGCATAGTATCTTTCTCTCCATTCGCTAAACCAAACCTTGGCCACTTTCGTCTTGAAATGTTGAGAGTCTTTTCTTTGTCTGACATTGATTAAATTTTAAACGTATATAAATTAAGTACCAAATCTAACAGGTATACCAGGAATTTAATCTAACTAAATTGGTTCATCATTTATTTTACTAAAATTTTACTTAGTGAAGTTTTATTTGATCCAATTCAAACTTCAGTAAATTAGTATAGATTAGTCTTGTTTAAATTTCAGAGATCAATTTAAGCCCTTAACAGGCTCTTAGAGTCAATACTGCTTAAGAGGAGATCTTTCCTAAAAATCCACAATGTATTATATTTCAAATTACAGTACAGTAACACTAGACCTTTAGGTTCCTAATGTAGTCTAGACTATTCTAGACTACACTACCAATTCCATTATTTCTCTGTCTCTCCAAACAATGAACCCAGTATTCCTTCCTCTTTCCATTCCTGAGTACACATTTTCTTCTTTTTGAGTCTCACATTTTCTTCCAATTCCAGTCTTGTTAGGGAAAAAATTAATGTTATTATCTCTTTAGAAAATCCAGCTAACCAAAAACTTCTGCCTCTTTACCAGTCTTTAAATGAAATACTATTGTCTTCATTATAAGAAGAAAAACATACCATTTGCCTTGCTTTATTAAATTATCAATATCTAAGACTCAAGCACAGAATCTTCCATTTATTTTTTATGGAGTCAAGAACACTAAGCAAAACCCCCAAATTAGAAAGACCGTATCTCTTTTTTTTTCATTTATTTTTATTAGTTGGAGGCTAATTACTTTACAATATTATAGCGGTTTTTGTCATACATTGACATGAATCAGCCATGGATTTATTTTCCCTGCTCCTTCCCCGACCATATCTCTTGAAAGCTTACTTTGGTTTATATTTGTAAAAAGCATACTGGAACTGGCTAAGAGTCAAGAGAAAAAAATGGGTTTCGACTCTAAAAAACTCTCTGTATTGAAAAGAAAATCTTGACCAGTCATACAGTGATAAATAACCTCAAATAACCAAAATAATAAAATTTAAATTATCTTAAAGGTACTAGAAAGAAAATTGACTACATATACCTAAAACTAAAGCTAATAAGCTGTCACAGATGGTAGCAATTAAGATATTCTGAAACATAGTAAGATTAAATGTTTTCTTTTAAAACAACAACAACAACAACAACAAGGCTTCCTAAGGATACTCACATTTAATAACACCCCAATGGGATGTCTTCCACATATAGTATTATGGTATTTCTTCAAGTAATTGCTAAAAGATACAGGATCTAATTGTTCTATAATACTCATACCCTAAAAAAAGAAAAAGAATGAAAGAAAAAAGGACAACTTATTATTTCCTAATTAAATTTAATTACATTTTAAAACAGCTACTTAAAGCTAATGATCATAATTTTTCAATAAAGAAAACACATTACTTAGTGAAGTTAATACTTCACTCATTCATCCAAGGTAATCTCATTATAGTCAACTCTCAACAATATACACATTTTATTAACAAAAACATTTAATCCCCAGTTTAGTTTTCTCTAACCTCCTGGGATGTTTCTACACCACCTTCCCCAGTTGTCACTCAGCTCACAAATCCTCAAACATTTCAGGATTTTATATTTTTCATATGTGTGTGTGTACACACAAGATTTATACAGGTAAACCTGTTTGAAAATTTTCATACAAAATCTAAAATTATATTTGATAAATGGTTATTTTTCTCATGTCCATTATATTACTCATACCACTGACATAAATAATCAAGAGCCGATTATAATTTTACTATTTCCATTACAGTGTGTAAGGCATTTTAATTATCAGTAATTATTTAGGTATGTGATAAATGAGACCACAAACTAAGAAAATAGTTAATATATTTTTAATCAATTTAAAGCTCATAACAGACTGATAAAAGCTTAAGCAAAATAGGTTTTTATAAACAAGCTGAAAAAATAAAAGTTCTCTCTCTCTTATTAACTAGAATGCTTTGTTTTCAAATTTTTAACTGAGAATCAAAATTTTTTAGACTACTATTGAAACAATCACTCTGATTTGGACATTTGTTTACACTTAATTCTGTATTCTGCAAATGCCTTCAAATGTGTTCATAATACATCGATATAGAGCAACTTAACTCATCTGAATCAAGCAAATAAACCAACAATTCTAAACTCATCCATTTACTTACTACCTGACCTTATTTTCTTACCCAGGTAAAATACTTTATACTTATGTTCAATAACTGGATTAACATCCTCTGGGAGAAATGTAAATTCTGGTTTAACTAATGAATCAAGTGACATAAACTGTGTGTTTTTTAATTGTATTTCAACATATTTTAACAAGCACAATGTAAAAGGATCTATGATAATCAGATGAACACTGATCTGGAAAATGATAGCAATTAGCAAGTGACATAGTACAAATATTGTAGTAGCAACATTTAAATCAAAATTTAATTTTATAAAGAATCTTTCTTGAGAATATCCAAGTTTTTCATAAACATTATCATATTTTTCTACAAATATATCTGAAAGATAAGCCTATGTGTGTGGCTTCTTGCACATCAATTAGCCAGTCTCAAATTTATCCACAACCAGTGTTTAATGCTAAGTTGGTTTTCTCCTGTCAACTAGGAGGCTTCCAGGTCAACATCCTCCTAGAGAGAAATATGAACTAATTTAAAAGTTAAACTTAAGATAAATGATTAGTATTATGATTTTTGTACACAGAAAATCACTCAATATGTTTCTAAACCAAATAATAATAGAGAGATGGAGTTATAAATCTCTTCCATAAATATGAATAATCAAGGTATAACTCCCTAAAGATGAGGAAACTATACATTAAAAAGGCTAAAAGTTTGTCTCTAAATTTCTAATCCTAGGCTCCTTCTCATTTACTTACTCTGCTTCATATAGAATAATGAGAAATATCAATAAATCTTTAATACTCGCACATAGCTACAAGTGGTATACATCTTATAATAGAATTTTCAAAGCTCCTGGATGAAGTCTAGGACAGTTTACCCTAAATCAGATTCCACTTTGTAATAAATTATGTAACATTAAAGGTACAATGTGTACCTTAATATTAAAATCTCAAAGCACACTGTGAATAAATATATCACATTTATATATATTAACATGAATAATTCAAAGAGAAAACTAATGATCATATTTGTAGAAGACAAAGAATTCAAAGTGGTCAAGAAATTTCACAGAGAAAATATAAAATTATAAAGAAAACACTACTAAATAAGGTGTTCAAAATGAAGATACAATAGTTAAATTACAAAAGAGAAAGCAAAAAATTGAGGTAATGGAAGTTAAGAGATTAAATTTAAAATTTTAATTCCCTGAAGTGCATTATGTACCTACCAGGGCAAGAATCAATTTTATTACAGTCAATTCTCTGACAAATACAACAGTTAAGAGGTATGCCTTTTTACAAGTAAGGGATAGAGAGAAAAATTAAGGCATTTCTCATGAGTGAACATCTCCAATTAGAAAATTCATAAAGTATGCAAAAACAACAAAAATGATCAGTAAAACTGCAAAATGGAACACCCACTAATTAACACAGAACAGTGACAAATACGCTTCTATATATATTTATGTTTTGATTCTAACAATTTTAAAATTACTATTACCAAAATTCAAAGATAAAAAATGCTAGTTTGATGCTACTGCCCAAATTCCAAAAAGATGAAAAATAAAAGTGCTCCCCAAATATGCCTAAAGAACTCTTCTATTCCTTAAAATACTGGAAGAGACGATCAGTAAATCTAATCTCCAGGTGATGGAAAGCTTGGTAGGGCCTGGTATATTGAGAATTTGAACTTAATCTAATGTGATTAAGAACTTAATCTAATAGGAAATAGTGAAGTGGGTCACTACCCATTCAGCTCTAAGATACAAAAAGACATTATAAACACCAATAGCCTATCCATCACAATGACCATATGGGTTTCTGAGGAATTTAGCAGTTTTGGCAAGAAATCCTCCGACTGAAAGCTAACTTCCTACCTTGAAGGGAAGAAAAGCGAAGGGAATCTATCATTGTGCTGACTTTCCAAGTAATAAGTGAAGTCTGTGATGTCAAAGCCTACATGGTCATCCTAAACTGAACAGGCAGCTCACCTAGCAAAGCGGCAATTTCAGGACGCTAATAAGATAACAGAGGTCTTCCCCTTTTTAAAAGTCTACCTATATATAATAAATTACTTAAATTATACTTAATTTTAAGTACTATTACTTAGAAATAATCTCCCTCTAAAGAAACAAACACCAAAAAGAGTAGCAAAACATTTTTACAAGTCTTTGAGAAATAAGAACTGAACCGTATCTTTCAATTATTAACACATAACTAAAACTATATTATCATATCATTAAGCCTGTGGCCTTATTTTTTAAAATAAGGATACACATTTATGTTGGAGAGATGAGTACACATTTAGGAAGATGAGGTAGGAAAAGGAAATATTCTAGTTTCTTTAAGAGGTACCAAGATAAAATCTTATAATGAAAGAAATTTTAGAGGGGGGAAAAAACACTCTAAACACAGCAGTGCTAAGAACAAATGTACTAATAAGTAGCCACCTTAAGGAAGGCATTGTAAAACTAATAGCAACTACTAAAGAAATGACCAGGCTAAGTTCAAGAGAAAGAAGTGTGAGGGGACAAATATGAACAGTTTCACTTTCAAAAGACTAACAGAAGAAAAGAAGTTAAAAGTTCAAAGTAAATAAATAAAGTGACTATTACAAATCTGGAGGAAAAGAAGTTAAAAAGATGACTACAATGACATGTTCAGATTCTCTTTGCCAATCATAAATGCCAATAGTCATAAGGAAACACTGGTCTACATCAAAAGCGGCACGGAAAAATAACCTACAATCAAATATACATAAAATATGTATAAATGTGACTGCTGTTTCAAGTATGTAATCTAAAAGATTCACAGAAATCAACATCTTAAAATGTGCTCTGCTTTGGTCACTATACAAACTGAAATTGCAACGTCCTAATTACCAAAAAACATGGCCAGTAGTTAGTAATATTGTAAGGCTTTCAGAATCTACATCTCTTACAACTAGTTACTTTTTTCTTCCAAACTACAACATTTGAAAGATTCAGCTTGTTTTCCTATATTTTTCTTTCCTTATGTGTTTTCTTCACATAATTAATTTCCAAGATATCCAAATGCTAGACATACAATTTCTCCCGTCAAAAATCAGCTATTTTTCTTTTGATTTTGGAGCCTAAAAACTTTATTTTCTAACACTTTATTAACTACATTTAAAAAGACCTTTCTGATAACAAAAAAGGCATCAAAACTTAACTTTCAAAAAAAACCCTACAATTTTATAATTTCTTATTTAAAAATAATCTTTTCACTCTATCAAACTTTCCAAAGATATAATTACAATTCAGAATTGCTAACATTTTTGCAATACTTGTATAGAAGTATCCTACTATATTCTGCTCTGAAAAGATTGATTTATAGAAATTATGGTATTAATTCTTAAATGAAAGAAATTATTTACAATATAAAATGATACTCATAAAAAGGAATATACTAGGATATTCACCATTTGGTCACATAAACCAATTAGGAAAACACACTGTGTAAGAGCTGGCATAATAGTGAGTGTATAGATACACATACATGTATAAAATCGTATATACATGAGTATATGTATAGAGCTAACCATTCTTATTATTTTAATCCATTTATTCTAACTCCAAGAATGGATTTATAACTTGAACTAACAGCATGCAAATAAAAAAAAGATCACTTAAGAGCCCTTTAAAAATTACATAGACATATATTACAGAAGTGTTTTCAATAAATGGACCACAAAAATCAAGTTCAGGTCAAATGTTATCTCAACTATTAAATTCAAGCATATCAAAATGAAGCAAATATTCAATATTTATTCCAAAATTCTATTCCAGGCTATTTAAATAAAATTTTTAAAGCCAACCTCGATAATTTTGGACATGTAAAGTAAGGTAGATTTGGAATTCAACCTAAAGCTTATTGGTTCTACTGAACAAAAATTTCTAAGTTTCAAAGCCTAAGAAGTGAGCAGAAGAGGCAAAAATTTTCAGAAGTTACAAGAATCATGCCAATGGGTAAATGTGACTCTTTTCGCTCTTCCTCAAAGTAAGAAACTAGGGTCTAGTTATCCAACTAATCACACACATCAAGAAAGACAAGCAAAGCTAGTCCTTTTAATATAACCTAAAAAACCAACAAAGTTAGAAGGCAGGCTAAAAGAAATGTTAAATATAGAT